TAAATCCTTTTTTGTGTCTTGAGCACAAACGCTCAGTAAAGTGGCTTATTTCATAAAGTTTATTTCTTCAAGGTACTACTATAATATAAATATGCATATATATTATACAGTTTCTATTTGGGGGGTTTAAAGGGTTAGTTCATCCAAACATATAAATTCAATCATTATTTACTCGCCTCCACGTTGAACACAAAAGGTGGTTTTAGTTAAGTTTGTCCTGCTGGTTTCTGTTCAATACAATATCAGTCAATGGGAGACTGACTTTCAGAAGCTTCATGACTTTATTTGATGATGCTTTTGACCCTTCGGAAACTGAGGCTCCATTGACTGATGTTGTATGAACAGAAACCAGCAGGACAAACTTGACCAAAGTCACATCCTCAGTGTCTTTTGGTCTTTCTCTAGATGCTCTCACTGGCTCTGGGGTCACTGAGGATGAAGAGACCACAGCAGCATCTGGCTCAGATGAGACAGTAAGGGCAGGTGGAGTGATGGAGTGTCTCATCCATGGCTGGACCATTTCCAGGATGCTGCTGTGGACTTCTCCATCTTCACTGCTCACACCAGTCTGCAGACATTTCAGATCATACAAAAATGCACAAACACAATACAAAGCAGTCATTTTAACAGCACAATGTCATTTGATTTCTGTATTAGAAGTAACAGAATGATCTTATTTATATTTTTGTTTCAGGTTTTCCCTTTTTTTCACAAATGCCGCCGTCACCTTTCCTTGCAGTAATTTATGCAACATTTCAAACCTTTAACCCACGATGAGGGAAAATCAAGCCATGGCAACAGTTTAAATGTAGTCCAATTCCATGGGGAAAAAAACCCCAGTCAGATTTCCGTGATCATGGGTTGAGAGGAGAGATGGCTGACAGATCATGCTGGAGGATTTGTTGCTCAACAGATCCTGAGCTCAGTGACAAATATCTGATCTTCCTTTACACAGAGTGCTCGTGATTGCAAAATCGAAAGTGAAAGTGCACAGCGGGCGCTCTTTCAAAAGATACTTAAATACTCAGCATATTGATGGAGGCTCCCTGATGCACGAAAATTATTTAGAATGTTTGAATGTTTGCGGGAGCGCTGGACACAAAAATCATGGGAGCAGGCGATAATGGGAGTGGGATTAAGAAAACGCAGGGCTCTAGGGCTCTAAAACAAAAACACACACAATGAATGGCGACTGTAGAATGCAAAAGCTGAATCCCGGACATTTTGGGCGATTTAGAAATCCCGGCCAGATGCATTTTTTAGGCCTGGGCCCGGGTTACTTTTGAGGTCTGCATAAATATGACATGGGCTAGAAAAATACATATGAGCCTTATATAGCCTATGTATGCACGTTTAATCATTAAAAGTTTGCGATCTTGATTCAAACACACGCAATCTTTTTCCTAAATGACGGTGATTCCGCTATGTCTATTAAACCTTTGAAATCCCAATCACATCGGAATATTTAAACCTGCATTTGCACAGCCTCTGATCCAGAGAGAGCAGCGCTCATCGTGTAAAGCTTTGTTTGAAACAGCTTCACAAACAGTCTACTTACACAGTAGGCTACATTTCTGTGTTGCAAACATTAAATAATAGCGAAAGTATTGATAAAAGTTTAAAGTCCGGATGTAGACTCTGATGTTGCGGGAGCCGCGATCAAAATGGTTCTTTGAAAGTAATGATACGCTGCAAATAATGATTGTATATGTTACATTATTCCAGTAGGTGGCGAAAAGTGAGTGTTAAATGTATTTGATGTCTAAATCATTCATTCCAGAGATTCAAAACGAAACAAGTCTTCATGTATCTATTCTAATTCGTTTAAATTAATAAATATTTTTAAATAGACTTATTTACTATAACATTAATAAAACATTTTGTCAGAAACTCAAGTAAATTACATATTTCGTTTGGTTGTCTGTTTTGTTTCAGGATCGTGGGAGAATCATAGCTTAAAAATACATAGGCTTGTGTATGTGGCAACTAACTAATACTATTAGGAGGTAATATATTTATTATTTTATAGGTAATATTACTACTGTTTCTAATATTAAAATTAGTTCTGCAACCCAAATCCCCCCTCCCCATGTGCCCCCCTCCTTTTGGTTCGTTCCGCGATCCTTATGTTTGGTCACTTCATTGTTTCATCTAATACTTTTTTACTTTATATTTTCATGTTTAAAATCATACACATAATATTTCTTCTACCTACACTACCTATAATTAGCAACAATGCTGTGCATCTTTCCAAAGCAAGACTGTTGAGTCTGTGTCTTCGAGTGAACTCTTGTCGACTCACATCTCACTGAGGCCTCTACAGTCATTATCTAAAATAGCACCAGTTGAAGAACCTCAAGAGCTTCTTGAAACAGCTCAGGCCAAAATATCCTGCTCCTAAATTTAGCAAGAATTTTATTTTTATTTTTTTTTGCATCGGCAACATCGAGGAGAAATTAAGAAGTACAACAGCAAGAAACATGAAAGCATATATATCAAAAAAGAAAAAGAAAGTAAGTGATAGTTCACCCAAAATTTGTTGAAATTGTAAAAACATCACAATAATTCACAACTAATCATCTTGTGAAGCGAAAAGCCGTGTTTGTAATAAAGTAAAATCCAAGCCGTCTATCCATAATATTGCTTTCTCAAGTGAAAAGATCATCTTGTCTGAATCAGCAGGAAAAATATGCACAGATCAAGCACCATTTACATGCAAAAACAGTCCAAAACAGTTCTAAACAAATATGTGGGTGGATTTTAATGTGAGAGGAGATGGACTTTTTCACTGGAGAAAACGTTACTATGGACTATCAACTCATATTTTGGTCAGAAGCAACAATTTAAAGTTAAAACTCCTTGATGGATTTGTTTCTTACAAACAGAGCTTGCTTTTCACAAGACGTTAATTGATGTACTCGTGTCGATTATTTGTGGATTATTGTTTTTATCAGCTGTTTGGACTCTCATTCTGACGGCACCCATTCACTGCAGAGGATCCATTGGTGACCAAGTGATGTAATGCTAAATTTCTCCAAATCTCTTTCTATCTTGCACGCCTGAGAGTAAGCAAACTTTAATCAAATTTTCGTTTTTGGGTGAACTATTTCTTAAATTTTTGCCTACCCCCAAAAATGTTAAGTGTATTTATTTTCCTGTAGTGTTTTTATCACTTTCATAAACCCTTTATTTGGGGAAAAATTTGCTAAATCATGTTTCCGTGGTTTTAAATGATGTGTTGTGTATGTTATGTCAGCTGTGTCTATGTCATGAAAAGCGTGAACACAGGATGTTGGGAAGCCACTCCCCCTGCTGCCCTCCCTTGAGACTGTAGAAGAGACAAGCCAGAGTTTCATTCAAACCAGCCACACACTGAGACAGCAAGGAATTCACACACACACACATCAATATAGACGTGCTCCAGTACAGAGGGTTACAGACACACACAGAGGGGGTTCCCTTGTGAAACCACTTGCACTCAACTGTCTATATCACTTTCTACCTCTTGCTTGCAAACACAAGCACACACACACAAGCAGCAGCTGTCAACATGTTGCTGTCAAGAGCTTTGACCTTGTTCATCCTGTGGGGTAAGTTGTTATTTTATTTTATTTATTTATTTATTTATTATTATTTTTCTTCAGAAAAATTGACCAAATGTTCAAAGTGTTTGGTCTCTCAAGTTTGAGTTTCTGGAAAACTGTTGCCAAGTAAAAGGAAAAGTTTCTGAAGTGACAGTCTAATTGCTTAAGAATGGTTAAATCAGGGCTGCCCAAACTCGGTCCTGGAGGGCCGGTGTCCTGCAGAGTTTAGCTCCAACTTGCCTCAACACACCTGCCTTTAAGTTTCTAGTATGCCTAGTAAGAGCTTGATTAGCTGGTTCAGGTGTGTTTAATTGGGGTTGGAGCTAAACTCTTCAGGACACCGGCCCTCCAGGACCAAGTTTGGACACCCCTGGGTTAAATTGTTCAGTGATCTAGTGATACCTAATGTTTGTATGTGATACTTAGTGTTTCATTAGGTATAACGTAATGCTTAAGACATAACAGGCACTGCAAACAAACTTCAAGGTCGATGTATGTTAGAAAATATACAAATTGAAATATTGCTCATTTTAAGCCACATTTTTCTGTCAACTTAGTTAAACTGTATCCATAGTTAAGTTGTATGAGTTAAAAACATAATCTATATTTTTAATAATATATCCTTCGTACCTATTACACAATAGGGAAAGTGGTGGAAAAGGCTTTGACAATCTTTATAAATTGGAGTTTTGGATAAACTTAAAAGTTTTTTATTTTATTTTTTGTATTGATTACTCTTGTTCAGTATGACTCAGCTCAAATATGACATTATTTATTTATGTATTAAACCTCACAATTCCCTGAATTCAACAGGACAATAGTGTTCTTCTTAGAGAATCTCTTAGAAATCTCATGTTTGCAACTTAAACACTGACACCTGAAACCACCCGTCATTTGAGCACATATAAAGCTGATAATAATGTCCTTTAATCAGCATTATTGGTATCTAACAATCGTACACATAACAGAGGTGTTGACATGAGTAATATGTCTGTTCTTACACTGGAAACATGACTCAACATCTTAGATTATACTATATATATATATATTTCAGTCATACAGAAGACAGCATCTGACTGATCTGTTTGATAAATCTGCATGTGATCTGCTAAAATAAAAATGCTTGAAATCACAGTCTGTAGACTTCCTGAAAAGAATGAAAATGTTTTATATTAATACCTATGACATTTTGTGTATTCTGTTGACTCTGTTCAGGTTCTGCCTCTTGTGTGCGGTATCAGGCTGACTTCAACATGATGGGAGTCACTGGTTGGATCCTTTTTGACTCCACAGTGCAGAAGTCCACCGCTAATCTCACAGGAACCGGCACATGTCGATTCAATATCTCCCTCACTACATTCCCAGTTATGAACGGCCATTTTGCTTCACCCTGTCAAAAGTCACACATAGGAGACAGTGTGTTCACATTTTCTGTAGATCAGCCTCAGGCTGTTGTGAATTTGTCCACTCTATTTGAACAGCACATTAGTCTGGATGCCCTCTCGGTGCTGGTGGACACATGCAATGGCACAAGGATTTGTGCTGGCCTTACTTCGGAGTCCCAGGTAAGAACATGGCGGGCACGGTTTTTCAGTCCCGTGGCTGGAAACATCTACATCCGGCAAGTGACGGGAGAAGCAGGGGCAAGGGTTCTCTCAGATCTAAGAAATGTCGATCAGACCAGGACTTTTCCAAATGTCACGATTTTAGTGTTCTGGAGAGACCTAAAAATTGCTGTTCACCAACGTTTACCATCCAACCTGACCGAACTGGAGAGGATCTGCAAGGAGGCATGGCAGAGGATCCCCAAATCCAGGTGTGAAAAACTTGTTGCATCTTTCCCAAAAAGACTCATGGCTGTATTAGATCAAAAGGGTGCTTCTACTAAATACTGAGCAAAGGGTCTGAATACTTAGGACCATGTGATATTTCAGTTTTTCTTTTTTAATAAATCTGCAAAAATGTCAACGATTCTGTGTTTTTCTGTCAATATGGGGTGCTGTGCGTACATTAATGAGGAAAAAGAATTAACTTAAATGATTTTAGCAAATGGCTGCAATTTAACAAAGAGTGAAAAATGTAAAGGGGTCTGAATACTTTCCGTACCCACTGTATATATATATTTCAGTCATACAGAAGACAGCATCTGACTGATCTGTTTGATAAATCTGCATGTGATCTGCTAAAATAAAAATGCTTGAAATCACAGTCTGTAGACTTCCTGAAAAGAATGAAAATGTTTTATATTAATACCTATGACATTTTGTGTATTCTGTTGACTCTGTTCAGGTTCTGCCTCTTGTGTGCGGTATCAGGCTGACTTCAACATGATGGGAGTCACTGGTTGGATCCTTTTTGACTCCACAGTGCAGAAGTCCACCGCTAATCTCACAGGAACCGGCACATGTCGATTCAATATCTCCCTCACTACATTCCCGGTTATGAACGGCCATTTTGCTTCACCCTGTCAAAAGTCACACATAGGAGACAGTGTGTTCACATTTTCTGTAGATCAGCCTCAGGCTGTTGTGAATGTGTCCACTCTATTTGAACAGCACATTAGTCTGGATGCCCTCTCGGTGCTGGTGGACACATGCAATGGCACAAGGATTTGTGCTGGCCTTACTTCGGAGTCCCAGGTAAGAACATGGCGGGCACGGTTTTTCAGTCCCGTGGCTGGAAACATCTACATCCGGCAAGTGACGGGAGAAGCAGGGGCAAGGGTTCTCTCTGATCTAAGAAATGTCGATCAGACCAGGACTTTTCCAAATGTCACGATTTTAGTGTCACAAAGCTCTGCCACCAGCTGCAATATGCTTCTTGGTAGTCTGGATCCCAAGAGTCTTACAATGCTGGGTGTTTTGAATGTGGGATCACCTCTAGAACCTGTGAAGTCTCGGTTGGAAATATCTACTCTCAATTCTAATGTCCGCTTCGCCATTCTCAACTTGACCTCAAGCTACATGTGTGCAGAGATCCGAAGAGTTGCAATGAAGGTAGTTAGTGCTGTTGTGAACATGCAAGGGATTAAAGGCTACTTCACCTTCCATCAACCATCTCCGTTCGATCTCACCACCATCATTGTTAACCTGACAAACCTGGAGAGAAGAGTTGGCCCATACCACCTTCATCAGTTTCCCCTACCCCAAATGAGATCTCCATCAGACAGCAGCTGCAGTAACAACAACCTTGGGGGTCACTGGAACCCCTTTAATGTGAATACTCGGGCACCAGTGTATCCGCCACCAAGAGGCTCCACTCATGATCTCTTTGAGGTCGGAGATCTGAGCGCCAGGCATGGATCTCTGGAGAATACAAATAACTTTCAAGCCACTTTCACGGACTGGAACCTACCTCTGTTTGGGCGGAATAGCATTGTGGGTCGCTCTGTCGTGATACACCTTCCCAATGGGACCAGATTTGCCTGTGCAAGTCTTGGCTACCCAGGCGAAGTTACTGTCGCCAAGGCTGCATTTCGTGGTCTAGTCGTGGGGACGGTCCTCTTCACCCAACTCAGTAGTGACCCATATTCTGATATCTCCGTGTTCATGGACCTATCCTACGGACAACTTTCTACACCTTCTACAATGAATCACAACTGGCATGTCCACAACTATCCCATCAGCACAGAGACTGACAGTGACAAGGGCAGTTGTCTGTCCACTGGAGGACACTGGAATCCATACAACATAGACACCACTGGGAGTGTATACACTGTTAACTGTGCTCCCGACAGCCCTTTTGCTTGTGAAGTTGGAGATATCTCTGGCAAGCACAAGACTGTGGACCTACAGTCTGAGATGGGAACAGTGGCAACCAAGAACTTTTATACTGACACCACCTCTTGGTTGTCTGGAATGATTGGACGTTCTTTGGTGATACATGGTCCAAACCAAACAGGTCCACGGTTTGCTTGTGCAAACCTCACCTTGTACCGCTTTCCCTCTGCTCGCTCGGATTCTTGGCTTGGACCTGGAACCTCTGAAGGTCAAGTCCGATTCTCCCAAGTCTCTCCTCAAGGGCCAACAATCCTAAATATCTCCTTTACTGGGCTTAATGCGAGAGCTGGTGGCTACCACATCCATATTCTTCCAATCAAGAGTGCCCAGGAACCTTGCTCTGACACCAACATCATGGGACACTTCAACCCGTTTTCTGTGAACACAGCCTCATCTCCTGCTCCAAGGAATGGCACAGTTGACCAGTATGAGATTGGAGACATCAGTGGGAAGTTTGGAGGCCTGACGGGTCAGAACAACTTTCAGAACCAGGACATGGATGGTAATATGCCGCTTTCAGGACCGAACAGCATAATTGGCCGGTCTCTGGTCATACATTACGCTAATGGCTCAAGGTTAGTTCCTTTATGAATTATACATCCTCAAACATTTTGAACTTTGAAATACATATAAGACATTAATTTGCTTCTCCATAAACTGTTGGAAGAAGAACCATATATAGGTGAGACAGAAAAACAACACTTCTGCATTTTCTCTCAGTTCCTCAATTTGTTTTTGGCAATCTGCCGCCTTAGCCACATTTAACTGACAAGAAGATCATTTTTAATATTTTTTTTCCCAAAAGGCATAATTGAGTAATCCAGAAAATACCTCATATCAGTTTTCTGTACAGCTTATTAGATTAATTATGTTGTCAGATATCTGAAATACCTAAAAACCAACCTGTGATGAAAATCATGTGTGGGAAGATTCACACAGCTCATTCTGCTTCACACATCATTCATTGTTTATCTATACAATATTTATTTGACTCACTCAGGAATGTGGATTGTAAGAAATATTATGCAAAATAATTAAGACAGAAATCATTCTCTCTCAGATGAACAACTGTTCTCAGGTCAGGGCTTTGTCCTGTTTGGTTGGACATTTGACAGGAAGACATGGATCCATAAGTCTTACCAGGAGACAACTGTACAATGACATTCTGTTGCAGCTGGCTGGAGACTTCACAGGTAGCACATGTGAATAACTTGCACAGACATGATATTTTCATGCATTGGAATAGAATTCTGCATAACGATCAACATAGAAATGGTCTCAAATGTTGTTCCCCCTAGTTGTCCAGAAGTCATTAGTTCTCAGACTCAATAACACCACAATCGCATGTGCAGATATCCACCCAGAATCCCCTTTTGCCACCCAGATCTTCCCTACAATGGCCTCCTTCAGCAGGTATATTCTTCAAATTAATGTTCATGCTAAATATTCAGATATATTATCGGTTTCAACATGACTACAAAAAAATGCCATTTTTAAATATTAGATTAAATAGAAGTAGATCCTTAAAAAATTGCATGTTTTTACTGTATGAAATTTCTGATTATATACATATTGTGCCATTGCCAGTGTCATGGTGTTTCATAACATAAATTAATGTTTATATCAATGTCTGTAGTAAAATATCTGAATGTTTTATGTTTAAAGCCTTATTGGCTGAATTTCACAGAGACAAACAAAAGTGAAACAAAATCATGGATGGGAAATGATTAGGCCTATTATATTTCAGATGACTCCTGGTTTCATGTAACACACAATACTTCACCTTACTGTTCAGTTCAGTTCATCTTCATTTATTTTCCAAAGGCAATTTTGTTCAAGCCTATCACATAATACTCACACTCAAACACACACAATACAAAAATCACACTCAGTCTCCTTCCTAAAAAAATGTTTTACCTGAAATGTAAAAACTTTACAGTTGAGGGCATAAATGAATGTCTAAACCGATTTGTTTTACTAATAGGATTTCTATACTGAATGCCAGAAGGGAGAATGTGAAACTTGTGATACACAGAGTGGGAATCCTCTAACAAAATGCTCTGGGCTTTACACAAAACCTGTCTATAATATAACTGGGCAATAGTCATCTGCTTCCTCCCCGTCATTTTACTTCCCTGGTTTACAATCCTCTCAAGACAATTCTTGTTTTCACATTTAGAGAAGTAAACCAGCACAGCAGTGAAAAAGATAACTGTGACTCACTATAGGATCTGTAGAACATACACATCAATGTATTTCCACATTAAATGACCTCAGTTTCTGCAAACAATACAATCGTTGTTGTCCCTTCTTATACAAAACATCAGTATTCGGAGAAAAGGACAATTTGTTATCCAAGACAGTACCCAATTTTTTTGTTTATACCCAAATTGTTTGCTTATACTGAATAGATTTCCTCCTAGAATTAAAATCAATAGTCATTGGTTTTAAGAACATTCAGTTAAAAAAAAAAAAACATTCTGACACCAGATAATAAAATCATCAACCACAGGAGTCCTCCTCACTCAATAGGCTAACAATTACAGAATCATCAGCAAATTTTATAATATGCCTATTTCTAAACTACTCTTACAATCATTTGTGTAAAAGATAAATAATAAAGGAGAGAGGACACATCCTTGAGGTGACCCAGTAGACGACACCAGCCATTCAGAAAAACTCTGTGTTCTCTGCACAAAGAAATCCATCCTACAAGACTAAAATCCAACCCAAATGTTTCTCAACTAAAATATGTGGCTGAATGGTATTAAAAAGGTTTTTAGTACATGCTGTGATGATAATGTGTTTTTTTATCCTAAAAGAATAATCACAAGTCAATTATTACATTATATGTAAAATATATTTTTTGCATAAGCAATACATGCTTTATTATGACACATTATTATGTTGTGTACAGGCATGATTTCCGTAAGAGAGTGGCAGATGTGGTAAACCTCCACATATCCAGAGTTTCCATCTTACCTGGTTCTCCTTCACAAGGGTCTGATGGGAAATGCCAGCAGGTCATTTATCTGGTGTCAGGTAAACAAAAGCACAGAATATGAAGGGCAACTTTTGTCGCTTTTCAAGGAATTGCTTTCAGCTTCACACGACATCTTAAAACAAAACAGTGAAATGCTCATCTGACACATGTATACATAGACCAACAGTTAAACATAGCTCACTGCTTAATGGTATGGATATAAAATGAAAAATATACTGTTATACAATATACCGTGTTGGGGAGTAACAAGTTACATGTAACGGAATTACGTAATTTATTTACAAAATAAAAGTAACTGTAATCAGTTACAGTAACTAAGAAAAAAAGTGTAATTAAATTGTTAAGGATTATAAAGGGGGTTACATCTGATTTTTTCACACACACTCCCACATACAGATTTAATTGAGTTCTTTCATAAATTGCTGTGACTGCTCTAAAATATGAAACACCAATATTTCAGAAGTTTATAACATGTTTATCCGATAGGGTTTATGTATATGCTTTATTTTTTTAAGATTAACTGTTGTTTTTTCTAAGGCATTGTTAGATTCCAGTGTTTCCTGTCATTGCTATGCAAATATTTGATTTCAAAAACAGTATCATAGCTATTAAACTATTTCTTGTTATGATTTTAAATATGTATTTAACCTCAGAATGATTTTAAAGTAAGTCTGAAATCTGCAGCTGGATCATGAACAATGGGTACTGATCCATCCTTGAGTTTTAACTTTTTAACAAAACCTGCCTTGAATTGTCCCTCATTCAGAAGGCAGCCTGTACTAAAATGATTTGTGCAGCCAGACATAAACAAATTTAGTGAAAGTGAATTGAATTGACATGTGGCTAAGTATGGTAACCCATACCCAGAATTTGTGCTCTGCAGTAAAATGATTTGCGCAGCCAGACATAAACAAATTTAGTGAAAGTGAAGTGACGTGTGGCCAAGTATGGTGACCCATACTCGGAATTTGTGCTCTGCATTTAACCCAGCCAAGTGCACACACACAGCAGTGAACACACACACTATACACACACCAACAAAGTTGGGGGTTTGGTGCCTTGCTCAAGGGTCTCACCTCAGTCGTGGTATTGAAGGTGGAAGAGAGCGCTGGTATTCACTCCAAAATCAAAATGGCTTTATAATTGAGACTGTTTAGGTTTTTGGGGGATTAAAAAAAAGGAGTGAATTTTTATCGTTGTAGGGTGGTTGTGTCCACACACTGCTAAGACACATTTATATGCAAATGAAGATATTTTGCATCCAATGTCTCCTTTAAAATGAAAATATTATAATCGTAATTATATCAAAAGTCTGACAGTTATCAATGTTGAGCACATATTGTAAGTTTATCCCTTCCTGGTTTACATCTTTGAAAATGATTAACAGTTGAAAACATTAGAAATTTAGAAAAGTAATCAAAAAGTAATCAAATGTAATCAGTTACATTACTTTAATAAAGTAATTGAAAAGTTACACTACTTATTACATTTAAGTAGGGTAACTTGTAATCTGTAACCTATTATATTTCCAAAGTAACCTTCCCAACACTGACAATATACTATTCTATAAATATCTGTAGGCTACATACATCTGTATATACAAATATATATTCTATAATGTGTAAATATATACATATAAATATTATGTAATTAAATCAAATAAAATGTATTAATTAAAATGTTAATAATATGAATAATTTATATTATAATTTACATGTTCACACCATCTGTCACACACAGTTTGCAGCAGAGATGAAGAAAGGCAGGATCTAGGTGCAGCATTTTTTTTATTTGCAACTAAACCAAAAATAACAAAAAACCCACAGGTTTCTCAGCATTCTTAGGTAATACAAACAGAACAAGCACAATACCAATGACAATAACGCACAAACGCGAACTGGTTTGAGCGTGTCTCTTCATATATTTTTCAAGTTGTTTGATTGCTGCTTTCCTCTCCTGAACTGACTTATGCTTTGTCTGCAAAAACAATGAACAATCCTGTCCTTTCAAAAGACACAAAAAAAGGAAAATTGCATGGTAACCTGATGCGCGGGTGGAGCGTAGAGACCCTGTGATCTTGTGCAATATCGTGAAACAGGAGAGCGGAACATGACAGAGGTCTATACCACAGGACAGCCAGAGAAGACAGAAAGATGGAGTGTTTCTTTTTATTTGATTCTAGATGGAATGTTTTATATGAATCACTTTGAATTGTACACCTTTAGAGTAGATTTAAAAAAAGGGGAAAAAAGCAAATGTAACAAAAATCTAAACAATCAAATTCAAATCCTAGAAAAATGTATTACTAAATAATCTATTACCAAAGTTATTGTGACAGGTTAAACATATCTAACATCTTGTTTTCCAGGTGAGGTGAGCCAAGAGAAGCTGAGATCAGTTAAGACGAGTGACAAGATGGGCGTTTTCAAAGAATCAAAGACGTGCATTCCAAGTAAGCCTGAATTCTGTGTTTCTCAACATTTAAATCATTGGCAAGTATTTTACACGTTATAACCTGGAATCCTTTCCTTCCTCAGCTGGAAACACAGGACTGATGCTGGTCCCCTGCAGGATGTTACTGTCCGTTATGACGGCTGCAGTCTGTCTGCTCAGGTTACTGAGGCAATAGATGGACCTTGCAGTAATATCACAGCACTGCCTTTACTTCATTACCTGAATAAACCAGGACACGTTTGGCCCAACTGCAGGAATACATCAAACTGTCAATATTGCAACCAAAACTGGAAAATTCCTCATTTTGTCATGTTACACACTCATATCCTTGTAAGAAAGTGATATGATCATGTTTCGCAATCGTCTGAATCTTGCTGCTCTGTTCTTATTGGTGTTTCAATGGGATTAATGGACATGTATTTGTTGTAAATTCCTCAAAAGCCTAACTTAATACTGTACACTCTTAAAAATAAAGGTGCTTCAAAAGGTTCTTCAAGTGATGCCATAGAAGAACCATTTTTGGTTCCACAAAGAACCATTCAGTCAAAGGTTCTTTAAAGAACCATCTCTTTCTTACCTTTTTGTAATCTGAAGAACCTTCTTTCACCACAAAGAACCTTTTGTGAAACAGAAAGGTTCTTCAGATGTTAAAGGTTCTTTATGGAACCATTTAGACAAAAAGGTTCTTCTATGGCATCGTGAAGCACCTTTATTTGTTAGAGTGTATTATACTCCTTCCCTTTAACTATTCAGTGTAAATGTTGTATGATGCAATCTGTGTGAATACAATACAACCATTGTTTTCATGCAACACATACACACACATTTGTTATGTGAGCCTGTGAAATGAAGTCTTACAACCTACATTGTTTGTGTGTTTTTTTGTGTGTGTCTGGCAGGTGATTTACTAAGAATATTACTCATAAATGTTATATGTAAGTGTGGGGGAGGTAATAATAAAACATATATATATATATTTAGCAAGGATATTAAGAATTTTACACTGTTAAAAATACATATTTCAAATTAACTTTATATCAAAGAATCCTGAAAAGTAGCACAACTGTTTTCAACATTGATAGTAATAATGTTTCATGAACAGCAAATCAGTATATTAAAATGATTTCTGAAGGATCATGTGACAATAAAGACTACAGTAATGATGCTTAAACTGTTAAAATACATAATTTTATATATATATATATTTAAATAAAATTATCTTTTAATTTGTAGTATAATATTTCACAAAATTGCTACTATATTTGTAATAAAACAAATGCAACATCGGTGAGCATGAGAGCCTTTTTACCCAACCCAACTATGCATTATATAATTACATATACATTAGTTATTAATATATATATATATATATATATATATATATATGCTACAAGTAACACGAGTTACATAATCAGATTACTTTTTTTCAAGAAACTAGTAAAGTAATGCATTACCTTTTTAATTTACCAGAAAATATCTGATTTACTTTTTCAAAAAAGTAACTCCAGTTACTTTGTTTTCCATGTATTGCCTGACAGCTCTCCTGCCCGCATATTGCGAGAAATCAGGAGTACTGTAAGTGCAGAGGCGTTGTGTGCGCTGTGTAAATATGATATTACTGTAGTTCTAAACTAAGTCAACATGCGTTTACTCATCTCTCTTGCTCAAAAACAGATTCAGTATCTGTATATCAAACTCAGAATATTATGCAAACCTGCAATAATTTAATGTTAACAAAAATTATTTATGTAAAAAGTAATACAAAGGTAACGTAACGCATTACTTTTCATAAAAAAGTAACTAAGTAACGCAATTAGATACATTTTTAAAGAGTAATGGAATATTTTAATTCATTAGCAGCACTGTATACCTGCTAATGAATATGTCATTATATTATTTAAAATGTCGTATTTAAAATTTCTTCGTCTATGTAAAAGATGTCTGTCACACATCACTGTAAGGGCAGCTTCCTTTGCACGCTAACACAAGGAACAGCAGAGCTTTACCAATAGTTGACATCTCAAGGCTCGCTTCTCTAAGGTAACTGGTGAATTGTTTGATGACAGTCGTGCGCTATATGTGCTCCATGCGCAGGAAACAGCAGTGGATTGTGCAGCGTGAGAGTTATTGTTATTGTCACTTGCATAACACGCATGAGTTTTGATGAATGGAGAAGTGTCGGCGCGGATCACACAATCTCTCTCCTCTGATAAGAAAGAAGATATGTAATAACACAAGTACAAATAAATAAAAACAAGTGTGTTTGCAGATTATTTTTCAGCATCATTACTCCAGTCTTCAGTGTCACATCCTTCAGAAATCATTTTAATATGCTGATGTGCTGCTCAAGAAACCTTTTTTAATTATTATTATTGTTATTAATATTTTTTGAGCAGCAAAACAGAATATCAGAATGATTTCTGAAGGATCCTGTGACTGGAGTAATGATGCTAAAAATTTAGCTTTGAAATCACTATAAATTACATTTTAAAATATATTCAAATAGAAAAGTTATTTGAAATAGCCTATTAAAAATATTTCTAAATTTTACTGTTTTGCTGTACTTTGGATCAAATAAATGCAGGCTTGGTGAACAGAAGAGACTTCTTTAAAAAACATGAACAATCTTACTGTTCAAAAACTTTTGACTGGTAGTGTATAGTCAACTTTCATTTTTCTCTCATTTCTAGCTTTTAATTGGCTTAGAAATCAGATAACTGCTGGACAATAACCAATAATAATGATTTGTTTATATACTTCAAACACTTTTTTTTATCACATAATAAGGCAGAATAGTTTATATACTGTAATAAATGCTATGTCAGTTAGCACTGCATTGTTCATATACTTTATTTATTACCTGGAGATGACTTGACAAACACAAATAAACCATATTGTCGCAATCGTATGTTTAAAGTCTTCATGTTTCCAAACGTTTCTGTTTTTCTGAAAACAACTGTTTTCATACGACTTTCTGCGCGAGAGCACCCTCCAACTTCGAGTATGAATGCAACATACACTGCACTGAATGTTTAGCGCTCCGTGATGTTCATCTAGCCTTATTCTGGGTCCGAATAAAACATCAGATCATGCACAGACTATCCTGTCTCTTTGAATTTAAATCTATATATTTATACTTGGTGCGATTCTGGAGACAGACCTTAGTTTCAGTAGTCATGTCAAAGCAGTAACTAAATCAGCATACTATCATCTAAAAAACATTGCAAGAATTAGATGTTTTGTTTCCAGTCAAGACTTGGAGAAACTTGTTCATGCCTTTATCACCAGCAGGGTGGACTACTGTAATGGTCTCCTCACCGGCCTTCCCAAGAAGACAATTAGACAGCTGCAGCTCATCCTGAACGCTGCTGCCAGGATTCTGACTAGAACCAGAAAATCTGAGCATATCACAGCAGTCCTCAGGTCCTTTCACTGGCTTCCAGTTACATTTAGGATTGATTTTAAAGTACTTTTACTCGTTTATAAATCACTCAATGGCCTAGGACCTAAATACATTGCAGATATGCTCACTGAAATATAAACCTAACAGACCCCTCAGATCATTAGGATCGAGTCAGTTAGAAATACCAAGGGTTCACTCAAAACAAGGGGAGTCTGCTTTTAGTTAGTATGCCGCCCGCAGTTGGAATCAGCTTCCAGAAGAGATCAGATGTGCTAAAACATTAGTCACATTTAAATGCAGACTCAAAACTCATCTGTTTAGCTGTGCATTTATTGAATGAGCACTGTGCAATGTCCAAACTGATTGCACTATATTTTACGTATAATCATTTTCTATTCTTAACTGTTTTAAATTAATTTTAAACCTCTTAAATCAATTTTTAAATCATTTTCAAAGTTTTTAAATTCCTTGTTTTATTGTTGTGATTATTATTTTTATATTATTATCATTTTCTTTTCTTTTATGTAAATCACTTTGAATTACCATTATGTATGAAATGTGCTATATAAATAAACTTGCCTTGCCTTGCCTTATAAACATGCAGAGTGTGCTTTATATAGCTTTTGATTTCTAAACATTAAACCTGTGATTTCTAAACATACAGCATGTTATTTATAAACATTCAGCCTGATTTATAAATGTACAGGCTGTGATTTGAAGAAAATACTGAATGTGATTTATAAACATTTCACCTTATAAACATAGAGCCTACAATTTATAAACATTCAGCCTGTGATTTATAAATATAGAGCCTGTGATTTTTTTTTTTAAACATTTAACCTTAAAAACATCCAAAACTCTAGAACCAAAAAATTACATCATTCACTTAAGCTGCTGCAGTGTAATTGTGTGTGTGTTGTGTCTCTGTCGTGCCTTTTAATTTCTATTGTGTGAGTGATGGGCTTCCCTCACCCCCTCCTGATTATGAAATCACCTCTGATTACATGCGTGTATGTGGCCTCCTGCCAAGTGTTTTCTTTCATTCTGCTGGCTGGTTAAATTAGCAGTAATTAGGACTGATTGCTGACAGAGCTAATCTCACTTTTCACCTTCATCTCTCTCTCCGCATCCGTCCATCCTGCAGAGTGAATCGCGCCCTGTGACTGCCGTCGTGAATTCATCTGCGGATTCAACGGCTCTGCAGGTGTGTGCAAAGGATTCACTTTTATAAAATTGACTATAGTAACATTTAATACCCTTTTTACCCGGTCACACCAGAGATTTATCAACTATAGAGTTACAGAAACATAGGTGAACACACACAATGGCATTCATATAAAGATATCAATTACTTACTTAAATAGAAATTATCACCCACCTAAATCTCATTCATTCAAAGAATGGTGAAGTAAAACTGGGATTTGAGATTTATATCTTATGACTATGAAAGGCCATTTATCATACATGATTTACAGCTCAGTGGTGTGACCAGATTTTTTTTGGACTTTGGTGGCCCATGTGGGACACAGACTCATTCAAGGGTGGCATGAAGCATAACGTCTCGGTTACTTGTGTAACCCTCGTTCCCTGAAGGAGGAAACGGAGACGTTACGGCAGTCGTGACTGACGAATTGGGATCTCGCCCGAGAGCCCAATCACCTTTGAGTGTTAACTAAACAAGCCAATGACAGTTGGCGTGCGTGTTTCGCCACGCGCACCCCACCCCGCAGCGCGGGTATAAAAGGAGAGCACGTGCAAACGCACATCAGTTTTCCACTGAGGAGCTGAGACTAGGCGCCCCGGCCGTACAGCGGTGATACAGCAACTGTGGCGACGGAACGTAAGGTTCAGGGAACGAGAGTTACACAAGTAACCGAGACTGACGAATTGGGATCTGTATGGAAAACGGCACTATTGCTGACCCCCTCCAGTGCTGTGTGATCGACACCGAGCGGGTCCGGTGTTACTGCCAACCTGAGGCGAGTACACAAGATGACACGGGCTCTACACAGAGATTATAGAATCTCGCAAACGTGTTAGGCGTCGCC